GTGTGGAATCCAGGAATAGATTCCAGATGCCTAGACTCTTATGCAGGAGTTTATTAATGAATAATGGACTAATGGAAATAATGGACTAATTCTTCAAGCTCTCATGACTTTTAGGTGCCAGTATATCCATGCAAAACAGGCATATGCAATACTTTGGAAATCTAGCCCAGAATGACTTGCTCGCAAACCTTTGAAAATACTGCCTATTGTTTTAATCTCATACAGTAGTACGTACCATTGGGTTACTGAAAAGATCAGCTAGAAAACAACTGTTGTATAACAAGCAGGTCTTGCCTTGATTCTGAAAATTAAGTTTAATTGAGAAGCTTGAGATTAAGAAATTCCAGAGAATCAATTACTGAAAAATAGAGTTCATTGCCAATATAAAAGAATAAAGAAGCAGGGAAAGAGTAGCTCTTGTTTCTGTGGCTTCAGTACAGCCCTATTCACTTCTTACACCTTTCAGTGAATTTTGCGCTGCTCATTGCAACACAAATGGCTAATTTATTTGAAACTCAGTTATTTCTAACGTCTTTCCTAAGTACAAGGAACTATAAAAGAGAAGGCAAAAAGAATAAAATATCCATTTTTGTCATGTAAAGCACAGGGGGAAAGAGAAATGAGGGTTTAGGAGAATGTTTTGCAATAGATTTAAATAATGCTAAACATTAGCACTGCTTTGTGGGAGTAAGAACCATAAAGCTTTTGGCCGAAAGGCATTGTAATATAATGACACTGGGCTCTGTTTTCAGAGTATGATGTTTCGGGATAACTGTAGAATTCAGATGAAATTAGGGAAGATAAAACTATTCAGACCAATACACAGCATTTTTTCTGTTTGGTTTTTCTTAACTCTGAAGTAGCTCTGATGATCCCTGGCTCGTTTGTACTATTGTCTGTGGTCATGCATTTCTACCTATCCAAAGAAGAATTCCCAATCTTCCCAAATACTGTGTATTTAAAAACAGTCCTGCTCTCACTAAAATGGATTGTTTGGCACCAACACTGAGCCAAGTACATGATTTAAGTGTCAATATGCAGGGAAGCTATTCCATATGACACTAGCTCCCCTAAGATGTAAAATTTCATAATCAGTGCTGCAGGATAAAAGCAATGAGGTTGTGTACTCTCTCTGCAGTCACAGAGCCTCAATCTTTACAAGGGGAGATATTAATTAAGACAATTTTCACAATGATTTTCCATATGCTTCTTACCTTCAGTGACAACATAAATTTATTAAGTTATATTTCAGTATGCAATTAAAGACCCAAAGATGCTGAGTCCCAAGTCAAATACTGTTTGGCATGATTCCTCTTCAAAATCACTTTCCCCAACAGAAGGTCATAGTGCTGTACAACCTGCTGTAAAAATAACTTGAGCAGTGAAAGGAAAATTAGGTTTCTTCTTTTCATTTCAGTGGTTCCTGAATCGCAGACAAGGAATTAATCCTGCTGTTTCAGGAATTTACATCAGAAATCCAAGCAAGAATATTTAACTGCTGAATAGACAGTAACTATTGCAGAATGATCACCAGCAGGCCCAATAAAAAACTCAGTAGTAGCATGTTATTCCTCCCAGAGAGCATATGAAAGCCATATCACTATAAAACACCCACAGTGCTTTGTGCTAATTATTGTACCTGGACATCCTGTTAGTCTTGGCACATTAGTTGGTACTAGACTTTAACAATTTATTGAGAGATAGAGGCATGAGTATAACAAATGACCTTAAGACCTTAATGCAAGGTCTTTCATTTCTAAACACCATTTGTTACCGGTCTCTAAACACAGATTCATTGACCTCCTTGAACCAGTTAGCATCAAAGTCTATGAAACAGCTATTTCAAAGTCTACTGAAATAAGTGTCAATAGTCATTGATAAAATGATATCTACAAAGAAAATATGCTTGCAATACATTCAATAATATTTTACCACATGCTATTTTCAGGAAACAGTAGAGTTCTAAATCAGAACAAAACCAAATTTCAAAATATTAAAATCATCCCCAAAATAGAATAACCCTTCTCTGCCAGTTCTAATGAGTAACCACTGAAATAAACTAGCGAGTGAAGTAGTGATTCTCCATCTCTTGATAGCTTCAGATCAAGACTGGATGCCTTCCTGGAAGATATAATTTAGCCAAACAGTTTATGCTTTACTCAAACACAAATTGTGTGGCTGAATATAGGGGTAAGTGGGTGAAATATAATGGGATATATGTAAGGTCAAACTGGATGATTTAATATGATTACTTCCGGCCTTAAACTCTATGAATGAATCTTTGAATCTTTATTTATTTGTGTAATTTCTACCCCCTTTTAATAGTGAAGTTAATCTCTAAATATGATTCTAATGGAAGTCAATGCAGTGCTGCCTTTGAGTCTACAGGCAGTCTGAAATAATGGGCCAAATTCTCTGCTGATGTAAGTTTATGAAGCTCCATTGATGCAAAGAGAGTCTCACCATTTATATGAGTAAAGAATCTGACTCAATATCAGGGCCGGCTCCAGGGTTTTGGCCGCCCCAAGCAGCCAAACAAAACAAAAAACAAAACAAAACAAAAAAAGTTGTGATCGCAATCGCCATCTGCGGCGGCAAATCAGCGGGAGGTCCTTCGCTCCGAACAGGATTGAGGGACCATCCGCCGAATTGCCACTGAACAGCTGGACGTGCCGCCCCTCTCTGGAGTGGCCGCCCCAAGCACTTGCTTGGTAAGCTGGTGCCTGGAGCCGGCCCTGCTCAATACTGTACTTCTAAGAAAACTGTAATGTGGACCTATTCATCCCAATGGGTGGTTAACTGAAGGCTAACTATATCAAATGGTATTTAATGCGGTATTTAGCAGTAAGGGTGGAATGAAATCAATGAATGATTTGATCCCCATGACTACGCCAACAGGGTAGAGTGGAAAGAATTGATGCCAGAGCAGCATTGACATAAGCTAACAGGAGTAGCAGGGCAACTATGAAGTGGGAAGGGGTAAAGAGAGAGAGAGAGAGAGAAGAAAGTAACAAGATACATAACTGATGTCCCCTCACATGTTTGTCTGTCAAAGGTTTATATTGTTTTTCAAGCATTGTCTTAGACAAGCTGTAAGCAGTTTGGGCCAGGGACTTTATATTTCTAGATATTTAGATAATGCCAGGCAATAGAATTCAGATCCTGAGATGGTCTCTGTGAACTACCACAATATAAATAATAATAAAGAATAATAATTTTTGAAGGGAAAAAGTGACAGGATTTATGACAGTCTCGATGTGGGAAGAGAAAGAAAGAGGAATTAAATATATTGAAGTTATGCATTTGGGAAAAAGGATGACTTTTGATTGATCCATAGTGATGGAAAACCCAGGATTTAAGGAGGAAAGATGAGGGAACAAATTAATCCATGTCTATCTAATGCCTAAAGGTACTTATATGATATATCACTGTATCTGAGCTCCTCACAATCTTTAATGGATTTATTCCTGGAATAAGAAGGTTCAATTCCAATAAAATTGAGAGCTAAAACAGAATTTCCCCCAAAGATTTCAATGTTCATCATGTTATGTTTGAACTGGTAGTGGGACCTCCAGGATGATACCGGTATGTCGCAAAGACCTAAATTGTAGACTAAATGGAGTGCTACGCTCCATGGTGAAAAAGTAGATGATGTGTAGGGGGGTTTAGTGATGAGATACTGTATTTGAAATAGCTAGTCACAGTCTATAGCTGTATTAGAAACAGTAAGGAAGGGAAGGCATGCTTTATATTATGCTTTTCTGGGTATAAAAATAGAATTATTGTGAATGCTGATGAACCTAATCCTTCTTGAAAGCTGATGAATTCTTATATCAAGAACTGAAACCAACCTCTTTTCAAATAGTTTTTTTTTTATTGAGATGGGCTATTTAGATTGATGATTATTTGGATATATGGAACACTGGTTTGAGTTTGAGCTCATTGTAAACCCTATTTCTTCCAGGAAACATCATTGATTCATTTCAGCTTAAACAAAAAAAAGTGTTTTGTGCTTGCCGAAGGGTGATTTGCTTGCATTGTTTACAGACTGGAAGTAAAATTGAACAGTAGGCAATTTGATTATTTCTACTTATCAATAATATTTAGGGCATTTCCAGACCTGCTATTTTGTTACAACCAAAGATTTTTGATAATACAAAAAGCTGAAAATTGGTTTTGACTATTAAATCTGAAGTATGCAAAACCACATGGAGCTGGTCATGAAATGTCTAGTTTGCAGATATTTGTACAATTTGAAATGAGACCACATCCATTGGTTCATTTAGATGCACTTTATGTTGAGTTTGCTAGTGCCATTCCGGAAAATATACAATGGAATATGACATCATATTTTAACTTTGTTATGTCCAAAATCAATGGCAAAGCCATACTTTATATTTATCTACTAATGTAATAGATTTGGTTCTGTGCCAGTATCCTAAAAGGAAGATAAATTGGTGAGACTCTTCAGTGACCTTTGTACAAGAACAGAGAATACGGAGTCTGTTATTACTAGAAACAAAAGAAATAAACAAACATTAGCTACCTTCTTGGTATTTCAGTATACATAGTGAAATTTAATGGACATAAGTATTTGCCTTTTTCAGAAATGTCAAAAGCATATCACAGGGCTGGCCAGAAAAAACAAACAAACATTTCCGTTTCTTGAAAATTCAAGGTTTTGTTTTTGTTCCAATGGAGAATGCAATAGAGACCTTTTAAATTGTTTGTGAAATGAGGAGAAAGAGTGAGAGAGAGAGAGACTGACTCTATCGCAGTGGTGGGAAACCTGTGGTCTGCGGGCAGTTTGTTTACATTGACCATCCGCAGGCATGGCTGCCCGCAGCTCCCAGTGGTCATGGTTTGCCATTCCTGGACAATGGGAGGTGCGGGCAGCAATGCCTGCGGACGGTCAATATAAACAAATTGTCTTGCAGCCCGCCAGTGGATTACCCTGATGGACCACAGGTTGCCCACCACTGCTCTATAGCCTAGTGGTTAATGCATAAGCCTGGGATGTGGGAGATCTCTTTCTCTCCCTGCAATGAAAATGTCATTGAAACCTACCTGGTTCCCCCAAACATTTCCATTTTGATGAAACACTGTATTCCATCAGAGAACTGTTTAATCAAAAATGCTCCAACCAGCTCTACATATCAAGTAGATTCAAAGCAGTGTTTTTGGATCAATTCCCTTAAAGCCTTGATTTTCCACAGCACATAACTTCCTCCTCTTACTTTCTACTATTGTATAGAAAATGGAGATTTTACATTCTTCAAAGGGAGTCTCACAGCTCCTTTCTTTACTTTGGCTTACTGCAGCTGTCACTTTAGTTCCAACAGAGACATAAATATTGGGAAGCAGAACTTCTCTCATCTCCTGAAAAAACAAACATTGAAAAGCAAAATGAAGTTTTATAGGTTTCTCTAGAAAGATCAGTGGGAAGAAAGCTGAATTTGGAGCCATGGCTTCTGGCATGGTTATTAACTTGTCCCCAACTTTTCTCTGTGTCTTTGGGTATATAACTAAGGTCCAAATTTTCAGAAATTTGTATATACAATTGCACATATATTTGCATACCTAATATGCAGATGCAGATGCTATAAGCACACATGAAACAGTGGCAGATGCATATGTAAATGACCAGATATGTTGTGACACTCTGTACCCCAAAGCAACACCCTGGTATCCTCCCCCCCCCCATTTACCATGATGATATGATTATGACATGTTTTGTGAAAAGTATGACTTGTATGGTATCATTTTAAAAGTCTTAAGTCTGTTGAATATTAATATTTTGTTGAATTGTATGTGCTATCATTGTATGTGTAATTACGAAGTTTTGCTATATGTTACTGAAATATGTTGTGAAGTTGGTAACAACCACAGCCAGCCTTTCAGGTACAACAATGGGGCAGCCAGACACTGATGTTGGCCCATTAAGGGGAATACATGCTTACAAGGACTACCCCAGGATCTGTATAAAATGGAGACCTCTCAGAGAGAGCAGGTAGACAATGGAGACTGCTTGACTCATGTCATAGCAAAAGATCTTTCCAGCAAGCTGGAGGAACCTATAAAGGAGGGGAAGTGACATCATCATTTGGCCTCACTCTCCCCCACAACTCAACACCTGGAAACACATCTGGAGGACAAAGACTGTGTAGGAAGGAACTATACCATCGGGGTAAGACACCTCTTGATTCAAATCCTCTCTAGTTTACAGAACTCAGATTGCTATTCTACTTTTATTTCATAAGTGACCAACTGTGATCTGTACACCTATAAGTTATAATCACTTAAAATCTATCTTTCTGTAGTTAATAAATATGGTTTATATTTGAACTAAAATAGTGGGTTTTGCTTGAAGTAAATCTGATCAGGAACAAGAGTTGGTGCATGTCCTCTCCACATTGGAGTGGGGGAGGGGGCGGCGGACTGGGTAACAAACGTACCTGATCAGGCTTCTGACCAGGGCAATACAGTGCAGGTCTTGGTCCTAGGCTGGTGAGCTGTGTGGAATTGGCTGAAGCCTTTTTATTGTTAGAGAGGAACCTGTTGCATATGTGATTTTAACATGCACTGTTACTTCAGGTAATATCAGTAAGTGCATGTAAAAATTAACCTATAAAAGTTTCCTATTGATTTTCAAAAGAATGAAACCATCCTGTAGAATTCCATACCAGGACTATAATTTTCTATTGAATTCTATAAGGTGATAAAAAACCACACATGACTATGAAACAGTTATGATTTTATATTAAATTCTATAGGAATTTTCTACAAGTGTAGGCATTCGAGTCTGCAAATAGTGTTTTGACAATTTTGACCTTATTCATTTTGCCTCAGTTTCTTACATGCCTAACTTGAAAGGTGTTGAGGATCAACTAATGAATGAATGAGCTGAAATGTATTAAGGGGTAGGAAAATGAAAAGCATTATATAACTGCCAAATATTATTACTTGAATAATTGTCTCAGTCCTCACACAGTATTCTGCCCACTTCTACAAGACTCCATGGCTTTATGTGACTGGAAAACATTTTTTTTTTAAAGTTGCTAAATTAATCCAGCTCAGAAACGGATTAGCAACAGCACATTACTTTAGCAATGGCACCAAAGCTGATGAAGGGCAGCCATGTCAATGTCCCCAGCTGGGATTATGGCTTTTAAAAAACATATTACATCCACATAAATGTTGTTTTGGCTGCCTGCATCGAGGACCATCTGTTTGGATGGCTAGATGCTCACGTATGTGTTGGTAGGACCCCTGCCACTAGGCAGAGGTGCCAGATAACAATGGGTTTAAGATGGGCAGGCCTGCAGAATGCTACACAGGGCATCTGTTCTATAGGAACAGAGGAGGGAAGTCCATCTTCTGTGACAGCCCCCCCCCCCCACACAGTCGCCACATTCCTGCTTGCATTTAGTGACACCTGTTCATAGTTGTATGCCAAAAAAAGAAAGTGTTCAAAAAAGAATCATTCTTAAACAATGGGAAAAGTAAAACTGTTTACAGGCATGTCTGGCTGGCAAAATAAAAAATAGGTTGCACTGCAGTGGTCATTTGGGAAACCCATGCAGACCATATGGGATGTCAAAATGGGAATGCTGCTCACAGGTGTTTTATAGACTAACAATCCCACGGAAGGCTGTCTAACTGGGCAATGAACAGTTCTACAAAGAGTAAATCAGACACAGCTATAGCCACAACTTCTGCATTTGACAATAGCAATAGGCAACAAATTCCTGATCCCCAGCTGGGTGTGTGATTCCCTTTTAGAGTTGTAGCAGTTTTTGAACGTTATGGATCATATATTAGAAAATAAGCAAAAACTACATGAACCTTCTGTTATATTGGAATAATCTTGCTACATTGGTAGAATATTATTCTACTGAATGCATGACCAAACTACTCCAGTGTTTATGAATTCTTCAAACTGAAATAGCAGTGTACAATCTACATAAATAACAGATATGCATTTACGTTGTTTCACAGTCCTGTACATATTAAATGAATGGGGAAATTTCAACTTGCATGTGCAAAACTGATTTTCAAATCTTCTATAATTTAAAATACTTTGTAAGTTAGCCTGTAGTTGTCATCAGAAACAAATCATTTGGGAAATGTCAGCCTGTAAAATCCAAATAATTCTAAGTCATGGATACATACACATATCTTTGAAAAGTTTTTTTTTCCCCAAAGCTGAAAACGTATGTTATTCCCCCCTCAAGAATAGCTGAAAGACTTTACCCAAGCTTTTAAAAAGAAAAGAAAAAAAACCACCTTTGGGCTGAGACCCTACCTGAAAAGTAATGGTTAAGAATTAGATTTTAAAAATAAAATAAAATAGGCATAGAGCTGATTACACTCTTTGTTATATATGATACTCACTTGGACAGACATTTTGACACTCTTACTCTGAGTGCTACATTACTGTGCAATTAGAGTATGATCCAGAAGCCAGTGAAGTCAGTGGTGGTGTTACTGAATGTAATGGGTAAAGGATCAGCTCATTAGTCCTATTGGTCTGATTGATAAAAATATGGGCCAATTTGAGTAAGCATCAGAATTAAGAGGTTCTTGCACACCAATCAAAATTTCATTTGAATCCATTTGTTATTTACTGAACAGTTTGAACAAATTATTTTCTAGATTATTGTGGTGGTTCCAAACAGTTCACTTAGGCTATTCACTATTCATATTCACATTGTGTGGTTGGTCTTCTAAGTCACATATTTTTCCTGCTTCCTGATTTGATGACTGAATATTTTTAAGACGGAAACTAAGGAAAGGTGAATAGTGACTTTTTGATGACAATTTTCATATAAATGATAACTTGTGCTAAACATTTGGGAAACTTTTGGTATTTAGAATACTGTCTTTAATTCTTAGTGGTATTTCACATGCCCATGAATAACAAATAATATGATGCTACAGAACATAGTAAACCAAATGCTGTGCTTTTTTACATGAAACACATTTGAGAATATTTAGTAATATATAATTAATATTATAATAATCATAGAATCATAGATTATAGGACTGGAAGGGACCTCGAGAGGTCATCGAGTCCAGTCCCCTGCCCGCATGGCAGGACCAAATACTGTCTAGACCATCCCTGATAGACATTTATCTAACCTACTCTTAAATATCTCCAGAGACGGAGATTCCACAACCTCCCTAGGCAATTTGTTCCAGTGTTTAATCACCCTGACAGTTAGGAACTTTTTCCTAATGTCCAACCTAGACCTCCCTTGCTGCAGTTTAAACCCATTGTTTCTGGTTCTATCCTTAGAGGCTAAGGTGAACAAGTTCTCTCCCTCCTCCTCATGACTCCCTTTTAGATACCTTAAAACTTTTATCATGTCCCCTCTCAGTCTTCTCTTTTCCAAACTAAACAAACCCATGATGCTTGATGCTTTCTAGGTTTCTACCTTCC